AAGAAGTTGCTCAATCACTGGTGAGTGGACCTGCATTCCACACAGAGTCGATCACCATACTGACACGAATGCTCGGCCTATGCGCTATAGCCCCAAGTGCGATTCGTCTGTCAGTGCTAGATGTCTCAACAAAGGCCACGTCGATGCCTGCCACCGCCACTGGGGGAAAGTTCTCAAGCCTTGGCAGGAGTGCGCCCTGTGCTACAGAGAGATCCAGCGGTGGGAGAGCACAACGCAGAAGAAGAAGGAGGCCGAGAGACTTCGGAAGATTGCCGGAGCCGCGGAGTCTTGAAGTTTCTCTTATCTATAATGCACGGACACTCAACCATTGTACACTGTATGATCATGCTATATGTTGTACTTTATGCCACCTATCCCCAACGCCTCTTTGAATATACTCCATCAAGGCTCACCATTTCTCACGCCAGCTTGAGCTGCACCGGAATGGCCACCCCCCTGGACGAGAGTCCCCTGGTGAGGAGTTTGACCGTCCCGATCCGATCGCGAAATCGTGCTGCACTCGCGGACACAGTCATCACCCCGCTCGGAAACGGCGGAAGCTGGATCATTGTCCCATCCTGCAGAAACACCGTCAGCAGAAGAAAACGCTCAGAGGAGAAAATCGCAATGCTCACGAGTCAGCTCTGCAGGTTCGTTGGGCGAACCCGTATACCATCCACCGTGTTCGATGCCGCCTAACACGCTATGAACGATGTCAGGCGACCCGAAGATGTAGGTCCCCAGGCTATCATAGACGATAGGCGTCGTAAGGAGGAAGTTGGTGATCGCGATATACAGAGTGATCAGGACATGCGAGTTCCGAGTGATCGAGGCGAACTGCTCGCCAGCGGCGGCTCCGATGGCGTCCGCGTACATTTTTCGATACATGCGGAGGTCCTCCTCAGAGTCGTACTCGCCGGGTTGCGTCTCCCACTGGCTGTACATCATCGGGTCCCAGTCGATCGTGAGCCAAGAAGGGTACACCAGCGCGCTCATCTGGAGGGGCCCGACGAAGACGCCGTCCCAGTCTATCAAGCCCACGACACGCCCGGTGTCGTCCACGATGATATTCTGTGAGTTGAAGTCCGGATGTCCTAACGCGAAGGGAGGACCGTCTGTCCGCGCGTCCACGATCGCGCCGATGAACATCTGGAGGAGTGCCAGCCACGGCTGCTTCTCAGTTGACCGACGGAGATCGAGGAGCGTCCTCAAGAATTCGTGCGTCGTGTGGAACGGCCCGATTTCCCCGTCAGAAGGTTTATTGTCCAGCAGGAGAAGGCTGGCAGCGGACGGAAAGGGCACGATGTGGTACGAGCCGTCAGGCAGTCGATCGAGCTGGCCTATCCCGTCAAAGTGGTGAGTGGCGAGCTCCGCCATGTACCCCGCGAGAGACTGCAACAGGTTCTCCTTCCGCCGTTCTCCCGTCCACCAAGACGCGTCGTGCCAAATGTCGACTACTCGAGTACCGCGTACCCTGTCCATGATGATATATGGATGGCCAAGGGGGTTGTCGGTCTCGCAAGAATACGCGTGAAGGCGGGGGATGGGGACGGACGTGCGGGCCATGATGTACTCCATCGCCACAATGTCGAGGTGCATTTCCCGAGCACGGAGCTGACTCCAGGGCTTGGCCATCGGGATGCGGATGACCCAGGATACGTGGTCCGAGAACTCCAAGGTGTACACGACATTGTCCGCGCCACGCTGAGGTGGGGTCAGCAGGGTGCAAGAGAGAGCTTGGGTGGGCAAGGGCGTCTCAGTCACAGTATGAGAGCGTTCGCGAGATGGAGACCTGGGGTCATTTGTGAGGGCCCGCAGAGCAGACAGCGCCACTTCTCGAATCGCTTTCAGATCGAGAGCTGCGACAAAGGCGTCCTGGGAGTCGTCGGGTGAAGTAGATGAGGAAGAGGACCGTTTGGAGCGCCCGCTTGTCCGCCCTGAAGCCATGGCACGCTGGAGAGGACAAGATACGACGAGGAGGGCAGCCACTCAGAACTGCACTCACTCGCCGCTCACAGCAGCTTCATATAGCATGCGCACCGCAGCATGACTCGGGCCACGAAAGCGGCCCCGCGAGTGGGCGGCCTAGCGGCCTCGCACTCTTTCAAGGATTTGTTCCTGTTTGGCACTGTGGGTACTGCAATACACCTGCGTTCTCACGGCGCCTTCCGTCCTGCGCCACCTGGTCCTCAGTCAATCCGCATACATCCGCATTCCGAAATCATACACAACGCACTGTTCGACCTCGACCTCGACCTCAACCAAGAGACCTCGACCTCCCCCTCACATAGCCCAACTTCCTCGCCGGCGACCCACTCGCGTTCACATACCCATTCTGTTGCTGCTGACCCCACACCCCCGGCATCTGATTCCCCACGCGCACCGGCCTCCTCCCCAGCACGTCCCCCTCCCCTTCCCTCCCCTGCTTCCTCCTCCCCCTCTCCACCGCATTGTCCACCGCGCTCTTCAGCGGCCCGCCATCGGCGCGCATCTGCGTCTCCAATATCAGGTGCTCCATCTCCGTCGCGAGCAGCGCAACGACCTCGTCCGCGGGCTTGCCGTGGTTGGGCAGCGGGAGATCGGTGACGTAGGGGAACGTGCCCTCGGAGGCGGGCGTGCCAGTGCGCGGGCCGTGGACGGAGTGGAAGAGCGTCGCGATGTGCGCGTTCGCTGCAATGTCATTAGTCGCATGTCAGCGTGAATATGAGAAGAGGGAGACAGGAAAACGTACTCTCGCGCAAGATCGACGCAGACAGCGCCGCGATCTGCTTCGCCTCGTTGAACACCCACTGCTCCTCGAACGCCGCGTTCGGCGCGGGGAATACGATGGGAACGACGTTCGAGAGCGCAAAGCACCCGAGTACCCACAGGTTGTGGAGGAACCGCACGTGCTGGTACGGCACGCGCTGCGGCCAGAAGTACGCGAAGAGGCTCGCGTGTGTCGTCGCGGCCGGGTCGGTGAAGATGACGGAGGAGAACGAGGATGAGGACGCGGGGGAGGGAGTCGGGTCGAGCAGGAAGAGAAGCTCGTAGACAGCGGTGAAGGCGAGCATGAGGTACCTCCACTGTACCACTACGTCAGCTGCCGGACGGATAGGCGTGGAGTGTGCAGACTCACGTATGATACAGGACTTGAGGGACTGACGAAAGAGAAGAAGATAAGACTGCATAGCGAAACAATATAGAACCCGGAGGCCTGCAGTAAGCCGTGTCGAACGTATTCCCGGAGCGTCGTGCACTGATTCCACTTCAGTGCCTCCGGGCCAAACCTACGCATCACCTGATAAGCAACGCACGCGCATATAACCCAGTTCGAACGCCTGGCTCACCTCTCATACGCAAATCGCTTCACAGGCGACCTCAGCGCATCATACGCGTCCCTCACTTCCATGAACGTGCCCTTGCTGTCATCCCCCGCCCGATCCGGGTGGTACCTCTTCGCGAACTGCCTGAACGCCGCCTTCAGCATCCCCTCGTCCGCGCTGGGCGCGAGCCCGAGCAGCTCGTAGTAGTTCGGGTCCAGCGTCGTCGCCGCGTCGTACAGATTGTATACGAGATATACGAGCGCGCAGAAGAGGTACGTCATGCGGTAGTGGAAGACGTAGGCGGGCGTGCCCGGGGGTGGCGGTGGTCGCCGAAAGACGCGCGTGTAGCCTTGGTGGAAGATGGAGAGGAGTTGACGCGTGGCGTAGCCTGGGATGTAGTACCACGCGAGGTATTTGAGGGGCGTGGTTATGAGCATTGTGGGTATCGAATGTTGGTGAATTTACGCAGGCTCTGCTAGGGCGCAGTGAGTTGAGCGAACGCAGAGAATTGCAAGCCGTGGGCCACTCGAGTCGCGCATACAGTGATGATCGAGAACTCCAGGTAGCCACATCGGCCGAGAAGGCTCACCTGTCAAAACGAGAATGACTGGTTAGTATCGCATTGACATTCAAAGCTCGAGCACAGAAAGTGAATCTCAGACGGGCAAAGCCCGCACGCATATGATCTCTTTTGCCCGTCGAACCAGCTCACCACACATCCACACACGCACGAACGCGCCGCATCCACCCTCGAGCGGCCCTCGCTCCTGCCACTTGTACGCACAGAACCACACGCCGCGGGCATGTTCCTCGAGCCCGGACGCTTTATGCTGTGCGCCCCACCCTCTTCAGGTACGGGAGAATCTTACGTTCGCAATCATTATAAAGAGTACCACGTCTGCGACCGCCTGACGCAGAGTGAAGATCGTCCCTGCACGACACAAGGACGGACCTCTGCGCAAGCTTGGCTTCTGAACGTCGACGGCCCCACAGCCAGCGCGCGGACGCGCCGCCGCGGGGCCGCCGGCTGTCGACTCTGCCTTTGTCCGCGCGCCTTGTCGCTCCCGGCGCGCAAACCTCTACAAAAGAGCCGCTGGGCAGTAGGGACCCAGTTCTCCCCCGCGCCGCGGGGGATGCGATATGCTGTCGGTTCGGCCTTAAGGCGTGCCGCGACGATCTCGTGAGGCGGCACGTCGGGGTTCGAACGCTTCGGGGGCTCGAGGGGCCAGATGGACGCGTACACGCGCACGCACGCGCGAGGAGGAGTGCGACGGGGAGCGGTTCGGGTGGGGATCGACCCTTTTACTTGGACATCATCGAGGTGGGGGCGGGGCGGGAGGCGTACCTTTGTTCATGGGATCATCCCTCCTCGCTCTTTGTTTCGTACAGTGGTTCCTGCGGAGTGGGAGGTGGACGAGAAGGGGACGTGGAGGACTGTGTGGCAGTCGTCGTTCGTGGTGGAGGAGAGAGAGCTGTGGATGGGGGACTTAGCGCCCGGTTCAACCGAACCTGACGTCGCTGGCGTCTAACGGCAAGCACGAAGCCTCTTGACTCCCAAGTCCAGGAGCATACACGCAGATGCCTGGTGTGCGTATTGAGCTACTACAGTACCAGACTCGTGTACGGTCGGATGGATGGTACTACGTAACCACGAGAAAGGACGACGAGGTAAAAACTTAGCTGGATCAATGAGGAAGGTGCTACCAGGGTTCGAACCTGGGTTTCGGGAACGTGTCCGGCAACGGCATAGACGCAGTCGGTCAAAATCCCGAGTGATAACCACTACACTATAGCACCATACCCCCTTTTGATCGTTTGGCTGTTGTGTGTACCCTGATGCTCTCCTCCACCCAGCACTCCCTCACTTCGCCCCTCTCTCCGACAGTCGACCCGCACCACGACCACGACCACAAGCACGCCGACCATGCCCAAGTACAAGCTCGTCTTCTTCGCGCCGCGCGCGTCGACGCAGCCCATCCTGCAGCACCTCTTCGCGCGCTTCCCCAACCACGTCGGCCGCATCGGCGCGTACGGCGGCTGCGCGTTCGTCTCTCCTGGCACCGGTGGGTCCCCCTCACTCTCCCTTTCCAGTCCCACCCTTCCCCGTCTCTCTCCTTCTGTGCCTCCTCGCATCGCGCGCTCAGCTGCTCTGCGGTTGATTTACAAGCTCGGGCTGACGTGCTTCGCGCTCACGTGCAGGCCAGTTCCTCCCGCTCGAAGGCGCGAACCCGGCGATCGGCGAAGTGGGCAAGCCCGAGCGCGTCGAGGAGGACCGCGTCGAGGTGCTCGTCCTCGGCGCCCCTTCTTCCAACCACGCCGCATCGACGACTGGAAACGCGGGAGGGGTGGAGATGACAAGCGTGCTGCAGGAGCTGAAGAAGGTGCGTGCCCAACTATCTCCGTTTCTTTCCGGTGGCGGAGGAGCCCTCTGCCGAGCCCGCGTAGTGGTAGCGGGTGAGGACGAATCCGACGGTGATACTGGTGCTGTTGGTAGGTTCATCCGTACGAAGAGGTCGCGTACGACGTGTACCGGCTCGAAGACTTCTAGTCAAGCATGAGTTCGCAGGTCATCTCTCCATCATGTGTCTGAGCGTGCCTGAGCGTGCACCTCGGGAGTGTCACGAACGCACTTTCATTACCCGGACCGCCACAACCACAAGGCGAGCGACCGGCGTTAGGACTGTGAGCGTCCGAGGAACATAGGTCCGACTGCCGTACCGCCCACGTGCACCATTCCGCCACACCGCCGCACCGACTCCCGAGCCCTGCTACGTACTCCCGCGAGCAGCGTCTTCCTGCCTCTCTGCCTCCGAAAGTGACACCGACAGCTTCGCCCGGCACGTCCGCAATGCGGGTCCGCTCCCCTACACACCGAGCACAAGTCTGCGTGCTCCGATCCAGCCGGTGCGACAGGTGGACGTGGACGGTACCGGTGCCGCTGTCCACTACCCGCTGTCCGCTCGGACTGCTGGCATCCCGCCTCCCATCCCGTTTCACCATCTTGCGGCTCGATCCGCCCACTGTTCATCGAGGTCTCATCGCCTGCTGTTCAGCGCACGTCGATGGACGCTGATGGATGTGCATACGCGCCTTCGTCCCGCTGTACCGCCTCCTTTCTCCTTTCTCCTCTCTCCCAATACCTTCCCGGTCCCCACCGCGTCGTCTGCCCCATCCGATGCACGATGCGCGATCCACGATAATTTAGCAGCAGCACGCCCAGCCCGGTGACCCTCCGTATTGTCCGTAGCGCCGCCACATGCCCCCGGCGTGCAGCGATCCCTGCAGGGACGCCATACCTAAACTGGAAAGTGCGACCCGCCGTCTCGTGCAAGTCGGGCGGCTATGGTCCGAGAATCACAAGCCTGGGCGTTCTTGCCTTTTGTTGCTGTGCCTGCGCGTCGAGGCGCGGGCGCTTGAGAGGAGAGTGCTGCTTGACACAACTCTACTTTCCTCCGCCGCCGTCTGCTCGTTCCCATCGCCCATCTATATAACTCTTTGTTCGTCTGGGAGGACGTCCTTCTCCTTCTTTCCTCTCCTCCGTCTCATCTTGTGAAGTGATCTCCGAGTTGTATTCTGAGTCGGACGCAGCGCCTCCTGACCACCTCCGATCCGAGCGGATTCAGCGGACTTGTACTCCGGACATCCTGCAGCAGCTGCCAAGCCTCCATACGTGCATATAACCAGCAGCGCACAGCCGACCCTCCATCGATCGCCCCTACCCACCCTTCTCTTCCCCTCGCACCTCCAGCACCTCCAGCACCTCCCTCGAAGCCTCACCTCCAACCTCTACGCGAGAATGCGCGCATACACCGGCCTGTACGAGGAGCCCGCGTTCCCGGAGCCGTCGAGCAAGGAGCGCTCCGTGTTCTACGCCGTCGTCGGCGCGGCGGTGACCATCGCGTCCACCGTCGCCGCGCTCCAGCTCTCGGGCCAGGAGTGGCTCTCGCATGCGTACGTCCGTATCCGGGCTTTGCTTTTGTGTGCTGCGGACTGACGGCGTCTCCTGCTCTCTCCCCTTTCTCCCCTCTCCCTTTTCCCCTTCTCCCTTGATCCCTGCTGGCCCGCTCGAACGCCCTCTCTTCTCTTACGCCTATTACGTGGGGCGAACGCGCGCGCTCGGACGGAGCAGGCTTGTGAACAGCCTCTAGTGCGCACGCTCTGCCGCCTGCTCGGCTTCCCCGCCCACTGAGCGCTTCCCTCTCCTCTTGGTGAGTACAGCACTTTCCCTCGCCCGCGCTTCTCGGACGGGCGTGGAGGCTCGTGATTGTCCGCGAGAGGCAATCGGTGTGCTCATCGGCAACTCACGTTGACAGGAACTCGCGCTTCGCGATAATTTGCGCCCCATCCGAATCGTCCCAACCTGGAACGACGCGTTCGACGCTTGACGTCGACGTCATGACCCGCACGACCAGCAACTGCCCGACTCGACCGAATGTCGGATCCTCGATCGAGCCCTGCACGTTACGTATCTCCTCCCGCCTTCGAATACGAGGCTTCTTCCTCTTCCCTGTCTCTCCCTCTCTCTTCACACATCTCACGCTTCCCGGCCTATTTATACGTCACCGCACACTCTGGAATTCCTCCTCCTGCAGCACTCATTCACTCGTTCGTTCGCTCCATCTATACTTTCTCTGCTCCTGCTCACACCTACTATGTATTGATGTGTACTCACGTGCCCTCGTCTCGTCTCACTTCTCTTGTTTGTTTGACTAGCTTAGCACCGTCGTCACGCGCTCGCTTTCTGTAGTCTTGGTGGTCTTGTATGTATTCGGAACACTACACACTCAATCCTGAAGGATCTTCGCTCGGCGCGAGTACTGCGGCATGCAACACTTGAATTCAAGTTACGCCACTACAATGACTCAAGCGAGAGACCGTGCTAGACTACCATCACACGTGACTACCTACTCCTACTATTGTTCAATGTCTAGGCAAACCCACTCGGGCACAGGTGTGCATACCTGCCATTACGCAACCCCTATATACAGCAGCTCTCTGAAAGCCCCGCCTTACAGCTTCACTCAACGGTACCACTGACCTTTCTCTTCTTCAAACCCTCTACTACCGGCCCCAAGTTTCCGAATCAAACGTGTGACGGATAGTCTTCGACACCCACGCCCGACCAAATTCAAACCCAAAGCCGATTGATCTTACTAGTATACTGAAGACATGTCTGTCGCTCGTGCTCATCAGTCTGCACTAGCTCAATCGCGCCGTGCGGACGTCTTTATTTGGTGGCCCCTCCACGCAGAGGTCATTGCCTGTAAGTCACATTTGCCATATCAGCCTGACGCACTTGGGCAACAAACTGCATGCTAGGCTATAATGCCACTACTGTGGGCGATGTCACAGCAGCAACATGGGTTCGCTGGTTCAAGATGCTGCTCAATACTCGAGCAAAATTTGTCGTCAAGCAGGCAACATTAACCAAGGATGACGAGCCTTTCCAGTACCAGCTGAGCGACGAAGCCACCCTTCGCGATTCCGACGTCATCTCTGCGGGTGATTATGTATGTGGTTATACTGGTGCGTTGGACTTCATGGCGCCGTGCCAGTGAGCCGTGCGGAGTCACAGGGTTTATGCTGGTCCAAGATATCACTAGGAGATACCTGAGATCGCCGTTCCAGACCTACAACCATGTCACTATGTCAAACCGCAAGAAATACTGGGAGATAGAGCGATCGGATGCCGCTGTTGCGATGCTTGAACAGGTAGGTCATCTCGGACTTGGCGCCCTTCATGGTTCTATGCGCTCAACCCCCATCATACTGCCAGTACCTCATCCCGAGTGATCTACATGCTGAAGTGGCGCTCCGCGACGGACACCAGTGCATACTCACCGGATGCAAGGAAAGCGACATCAGCCAGGTAGTTGTGAACTGGATTTTTCCCTCCCCCCACCTTTACAACACGGTGCGTCATGCATATGCCTTCTCGCTCCGCAAAGTGCTAACCTCGTTCTATCAGGTCCCGATCTTGTACGCAGACAAAAACCCTGACCTAGACTCTGCCAAAGAAGCTTTCCGGGTTTCCGCCAACCTAATGACTATGCGGGCCGATTTGTACGAACTGTGGCATTCCAATGCATTCAGCGTCGACGTTGACGTGAGTGGCCAAATCTCCCGCTGCGTGATACCGGCACTGACGTGAGGTACTTAAGACGGCTACAGAATCCGTATATTCCATGAAAGCGCCCTTGCCGTCGGCTTGCCCGAGCGACTGCGCTCCCCAAGGCAAGAATGGGACGAATTCCTCCGCGAACACTTCCTTTTCACGCTCATTGCGGGCGTCACGAGAGGTGACATCAGAGAGGACTATGACCCTGCTAGAGTCCAGTTGTTCAAGGAGTCAATGGGACTTGACACCATGGAGGGCAGCTGTGACCTTGATCTGTCAGACCCGGCATGGACGACCCCGATTGGAGTAGAGGTCCTGGAACACGAGCTGGCTCGGAAGGCGAAGATGCCGCCGGCGTACCTCTGGTCACGACATTGCTGCGAATCCGAATGATCGCGCAAACGGGTAGAGTCGTTTCGAGACGAACTGCGCAGCTGTCCGTGTGTACGTAGTGAATGAAGTGGCCGGCATGTATCGTACCTTCGCAGCAGACACTCCGAGTCGCCAGGAACGTCATCTAACTCGGTACGTCCAGCCAGAAGAGCCGCTGCTCCAGAATGAGTCCCAAACGCATATTCCCACTACTTACATAGTGACAGACTATACATCGAGTCCCTGGTCCCAACAAGTTACTATCCAACACAAAGCACATACAATACAGCAAAGCATTCGCGTCCAG